CTCAGCAGTTCACGTTCTGTTAAACTAATCTGCTGAATTCTTACTTTCAGTTAATGTGGTCCTCAATTGTGCATTTCCCTTCTTTCAGTCAGGAGCCCCTCAAGGTCCGGCTGCACTGCTTGCCGTCTAATGCATCCAAATGTTTTTTATACAAAATGTTTTTATGTCTCACCAAATTCATCTCTTTGCTGACCGAATTGTGCTCTGCTCACTCCCAACTCTGACCTTTTGTTTCTGCTGTTTCTCCTGCCCCCGACTGGCTTCCTTCACCCACCCAAATCAAGCCCATCGTTCTTGCTTCCCCTTAATCTCACTTCCTCAAACCACCTGTGCATTTATAAAAAATGTCGTTTTGAACAACTTTTATTAACGACAAAGCATTATATGATGTAAGAGGAAAAGTGTAAAGTTCCAAACCACTTATAATCTAATTTTATTTTTAAATGTGTCCAATTTATTGAAAAAAGACAAGAATAAGATTAAAAAAAAAAAAAAAAAAAAAAAAGTTAATGGTTATTTCTAGCTGATGGGATTAAGTAATTTAAAAAGGTTTTCCATTTTTGAAATTAATAAAAAATATTATCTCCAGGTGATGGAATTATGTATGAATTTTATTTTTCAAGCTTCTCCCTATTCTCGACAATAAAGTACAGTGTTACTTTCATAACAAAAAGCTACTCTTTTAAATAACAATTACCGAAGAAAATAAACACGGTTGAAACATTTATATAATCAGGCCCTCACGAGCATTCATGGTAGAGACCTTCACATCCTACAAGTGAATCGCTCAATGTTCACAACAGTGTGAGTATAAAGAACACCACTGAAGCAGACTTAAAAATGGGTAAGATAGCCCAGCCAGTGTGGCTCCGTAGTTGACTGTCATCCCATGAACCAGGAGGTCACGATTCGATTCCCACCCAGGGCACATGCCCGGGTTGCAGCCTTGATCCCCAGTAGGGGGTGAGCAGGAGGCAGCCGATCGCAGATTCTCTCTCGTCACTGATGTTCTCTCTCTCTCCCTCTCCCTTCCTCTCTCTGAAATCAATGAAAACATATTTTTTAAAGAATAGGTAAGATGGTAAATTATGTGTTTTTACCACAATTAACAACAAGAGCAAAAAGTAGGAGTCATAGTAGACGGCCCCCCACCCACACAGTGACTCGTCCAGGTGTGAAGTGAAACGAAAGTGAGTGTAACCGCGAGACTGGCCAACGGAGGGAACTCGGGTTTCATCCCAGTGTGCTGCAGGGTCTCCACACTGCTCACAGTTTGACTAATCCACCTTCACATCTCAGATGCTTGGTACTCGCGTAACCTGGCTTTCATTGTTCTTTCCAAATACTTCTAAATTAACAAGGAAGAATTGTACGAAAACTGTAAAATGGTTTGTCCAAAAGGGCTTGAACACTTGTTTCAGGTGCCTTTTCCTGAACACAGGCAGTGTGTGTGTTGATTCACAAGCTTGCACAGCCCACACCAGCTCACCCAGGACGATTCCTGGTGCTGACAGAACCCACTTTTCCTCCCTCCCTCCCTTCCTTCACCCAGACTGAATTTGCTCACCTTCTGCATTGTCATAAGGCCCTTATTTAAATCACCTCCATGTGAAGATATGTTAAAACTATTTAATTTACACTCAGATTGGTGAATACTGTCCTTTTACCCATTCATTTAATTGAGCAATCATACAAACCGTAAAAAAAATCTCCACAACGCGTCATAAATGCCAACGTTATATGTTTTATTTTTAATCAAGTAATTTTTTCAGACCTCAAAATATCCATAATTGACAGAATAAGACATTAGGCATGAAATGAGCATATAAAACCTGCAGTCTGCAGAAAGGCCAACAGCACTTCAGCCCATCAGAGCGACTGTACACGCTGAAATGCCATTCAAAATACCTCCTTTTCTGTCCTTTAAAAACATATAGTTCAAGCGTCTTGTTTAATCTTCACTTGTAAACAACATGAGTCAAAATGGACAAAGAGGCAATCTAAATACTACACAGGATAATTTAAAAACACTAGATAAAACACCGTATTAAAGACATAGAAATCAGTGTTCACTTTGGTCTCTAGGATGGTTAGGGTTTGTTAATACCAAAAAATAAAAATAAAATAAAAAATCCCCATACATATAATTAAAGCCAGCTTGGTGGTGGATGCCAGTGGTTGACAGATGTAAGTGATTCGAGAGGTAGTCAACACCATCATTTTCAAGCCGGTAACTGACAAGTGTTGAGCCACAGCAAACGTATTAAATATCGCAATAGTTTCTCACAGTACAGTACTTCGCCATAACTTTGCAGCTTTGTTCCATATATAAAATTTAAAAACGCTTCATAGGCCAACTTCTCACTCTAACTGAACTATGACACAGGTCACACAACCACCACATCTTAAAGAGGCCGATGACAGCTCTGCAAGACAGAATTTGATGCTTTTAACAAGTTGTTCTTCTCTAAAACAAACAGATCTCATTAAGACAACTAGAAGGTTAGGGTCAGTGCAGCTGCACTTGTACACACTTTCCCGAATTTTATAACCAAAGGGGAAACACACATATATATTTTATGATAAACATTTCTTAGAGAAAACAGATAAATTAATTTAAATTAACTTTAAGACTTAATGAGATTTCCCATGTCCTGTATAATTCATCTCACAGTGAATGTTACAAGGTCTATTAACACTTATGGGTGTCTATTCAAAAACTACATACAACTAGCATTAACTTGGGGCCACATTGGTGCAAAATACAACTGGGCCAGAGACGCTAAAAAAAATCGGCAATAAAAAGCCCTATGTTTGTAGGTGGATTGATGCTAATAACGTGATGTTTCCTGATCTTTTTGCCTACATTGCACACCAAACTTCCAAGTTACAAGCAGGTAAAAATCTTTCTATATCTTTCCATTGTAAAAATACATCCAAAGTCTTCTAGTAAAGAGGAGAGATGCAAGTATAAAAATGTTTCCACTACAACCTGCCATGTAGCAAATGAACAGCTCCCAGGGCTGAGAGGCGGGTGGAGCATCTTCCTTAGGAATTACATTGTGTTGACATGGGGGTGAGGTCAAGGGGCAACTAATTCACAGACCTCCTGCCCAATCCATGAGTAACCCCTGTAAACTGATGCTTCACGCGGACCCTTCCCCTCAGTAGCTACAAATGGCACCGCACACCCACTATGTCCACTCCTTGGCAAGCCAGTGCTGGTCAGTTGTGTGCCTGGGGCAATAATGCCGCAATACGCTCGGCTTCGGGGCAGCACAGCCACAGGGAAGGAGGCTGGCATCTTTATACTGTCTGCCCAGCACGACTACACTCACACACCAACCTCCCCTCCCGCCTCGCCCTCGGGGCAAAGCAGCTATTCCCAGGACTGCTTCTGTGTCCGCTCTGTGTCAGGGCAGGGGTGCCCGTCACTCTTTCAACGAAGCACGTGATACGCTGAAGGAAATGCCTGGGGCTTTGCTAACTAAACGAGATGCTTCCTTCTTTACAAGCGTTTGTTGGAAACATGCAGTTGTGAGTTGCTATCTATCCGATAAAAAGGTTCTGTACCGGAGAACTGCCGGCCGCTGGGAGGCTGGAGCGGCGTCAAGGTGTGCTATGCGTCAACCATGAGGTAGCCTCTTGTTGTAAACAGAATTATATTTCACCCATGTAAATGGACACTGTGCTCGCATCAGTGACATTCACATATACAAGGAGTTCGGGAATTCTGCCTTAGGGTACTTTTCACGTGAAATAAAAACAGGAGAGCTGATATCTTAAGTCCAGAGATTTTGATCTATGTTAAACAGAGGTAGTTATTACCAACATCAGTACATAATACTTATATAAAGGTCGGAGTTATTTGGTTTGTTTTGAGTAAGCAGGACTGTAGACTATTCTGTAAAGAAACAACAACATCATCATTATGGTATGTTCCCTGAGCAAAGTTCTTTGTCCTGAGTATGTTATGTAATAGTGATAATATTCTTATATAAAAAATAAACCCAACTTTTAATCCTAAGATAGGTTTGGTATGTGCTCTTAGTTCAGTCTGGCAAAATGCTTAAAATGACTTCAAATTGCACCCATAGGTCCACAGTTATACATTTAAAAAAAAAACCCAACACATGAAAAACAAAAAAAAAAAAAAACCACCCCATGATCTCAGCTCTGTATTTTTAAATATGGAAACAGGGAATGTCCAATTCTCAACTCCATAACTTCCTATGTCTATAAGGTCAAGGAACTTTGGTTTGGATTTTCAAAGTGACTTATTATGGTTTGCATTTTTACCGTTAACCTGCTTATTACACCTGCTAAAAATCAAGCAATGCCACTTTGATTTGTCTACATAATTTAAATACGCTTACAATCCTCACGTAAGGCAAGGAAGGACTTCTCTACAGCTATATCACATTCAATATCGTCAAAGGTAAGCGTTGCATCACAGCACACTGGTATTCAGTACACACGGTGGAGATCCTCACAAACACTGTCGTGGAACTCAAGCTGAGCTGCAAAGCACGGGCCGCCCAGCCCCGGGCCTCTCCCCGACGCCCGGCTCGCCGCAGGGCAGCCACCGCACGCATCTCCCACGGCACCGCGGGCGGGGAGGCGGCTGTGGCCGCTCGGCAGGACGTGTCTCATTCGAGCCATGCTGTTTTCCTTTTTGATTATCTGAGCTTACACCAACAGGCTCACCATACAAAACTATATTCATTGCCAATGTTAAGCATTATGACTGGCACCTCCCTGGAGATGTTTCAGGAAGGTGCCCATAACCTCTACAACCAGGATGACGCCAAAGTGAATTCTCACGACTGAAACCTGAAAGGGACCAACCCTACGGCTGTTCCCGAGCCCGTTTGTTAACATAACTGAGACCAGCCTGAGCGGCGCCTCTGTCCCCATCACTGCGCGGTCATCCTAAATCCGCCACACAGGTTCCTTCAGCATCCATTTTCCTGCATAAAACCCTTCCAGCTCTCTGGTAGGAGAGGTTTCGGTATCTCTGCCCCAGGCTCGTCGCTCTAGTTTCCTGCCACCAAACACTGCACTTTTTACTTTGTTCAAGGTCAATACATATTGGGCAATGGTGAGCATCCACTTAATGTTTACCCTCAACCCTGGCATTCTATCCATCTCTCTGCCGTTCTGTTTGTTTTAGAAACAAGTTAGATAACGCTCCAGGGGGAATTAAAATAGCCACCAAAAATATATACCAAACGACTGGAGTTTTCCTCCAAGGTCTTCAGTAGTCAACAGGGAGGGCCCCTGCTCGAAGTGATGGTCAAAAGGACTGACTTAGGGAAGGGAAGCTGCTGTTGCCACAATCCCTGAAAAAAACCTCACGACATGTAAAAGATTATGAGCTGGTATGAAAATACCGCCGAAAACAATCAAGTCACTACATTTTTACATTGCCCTCCCCCCTTCCTTTCCGTTAATATGCATCTAATTTACAATCAAAATACATGAATTAAAAACATTAAAATATCGGCACAGAAATTACACATTCATTGTCTCTTCTGGAGTTATGTATCCCAGATTCGAAAAGCTTATGGCAGTCAGAGGCATGTGGGGTTAAGGTACTGACTTCAAAGAGGTTTGGGACACTCTATAGATATTCAAGAGAAAAAGGCAATCCCAAACTTGGGGAAACTGATGATTAAAAAACCTTTAGTACCATGTGATTGGCAGCTCTGAGATCTGAAGTATCCTTTGGTTCACACAAAAAGATAACAGTCATGTGTTTATTTCTATGTCATCGTAAAGGGTGTGGTATTTCAAGAAAAACTCCAGGGGTTCTTTTTGAAACCATCTAGATCAAATGCTTCCCACGAGTTTTCAGTTCTTGGGGATGTCAAATTCTGGGAGGGAGGGTGTGTGCTTAAACCTCTACACACACATATATAAAGACAAACTCTCTTTATATACATGTCTATATCCCGATACAAATCCTCCTACACACACAGACTCAGGCTCGCTCCCTCGCACACATGCACATACAGGAACACACAGTTTCTCATTCTCGGAATTACATAAAACACGACACCCTGCTCAAGTGTAATTTGCTTAGAGTGATTTGTCTGTTTAAAAAAATTCACAGTTCCTCAACAGTAGTTAAAAATCCCAGGTCAGCTGCTGTTTGTGAAATACTGTTCCCCTGTACTTGCATGAGGTAGACTTTCCAACCGGGGGGAGAAAACGGTGCACTGAGAAGGATTATGTCTTTTTCCTTTTTTGAACAGAAGGCCCCTTTTTGCTTTGTTCTCCGGGTGCTGCGGCTGACTTCGTGGAGGAAGCTTCCTGAGGGGACCGGCCTGGCCATTCTGCGACCTCGGGCCTGGCCTCCTGAGGACACGGGGGCGGTGAGCGGCCAGGCCCGCCCGCCGCCTCCCGCGGGAAAGCCGCGGGGCCCGGCTGCGAATCGGCCTCCTGTCTTCCCTGAGAGCTGGCGGGCGGCTGCGCAGCAGTTTTGTGCGGGCAGTTGGCCACCATGTGCGTGATGCTTTGACAGTAATGGCACTTCTTTGGCTGAGGAGGTAGACTACATTCCTTAGCGTGGTGGTCAAGGCCACCGCAGTTGTAGCATCTGCAACAAGAATAATGACAACGTCTTAGAAGCAGGCAGTGCGTGTCACACAATGTCTTATGTATGCAAGGGAGACGCCGAAATACACACACTGTCAACGAGCTCAGCCTATTTGTGTGCCCTCTGAAGTACGTAACGCTGCTTAGCACCCCGGCCACTTCAAAGGCCATCATCGCCAAAGTGCTCCAGCAAAGCCGTAGAGCTAGTTGTACCTGACACACCAGTCAACATAAACCACAAAAGACTTTATATTTTAGTCGCTTCCCTATAGAAATGACCCCTTTTAAAGATCTGACAGGTTATTGTAAAAGAACAGGTTAGCCCACTAGAGGGCAGTGAATGCTCACCAGAAAAACCACAACCAGCTAGTTCTAAACAGAGTTAAAAAATACAGCTGTTGACGTGATATGCACTGATAATGCGCTCAGCAATTAGGAAAATTATAGAGCAAATTAAGTTTTACCAGTTTAACCTTTCTTTGGGTATTAATTATTTTGACTACGGAAACCAGTTGACTGGAAGAATTTTTTGCCGTTGTACCAATTAAGCAATGCAGGGAAACCTGATATATAGGAAAAATCAGATGTTTACGGTGAATGATATCTGGCAAATTACCAAGTAATTTTAGAGCAATAGTATCTGAATCAGAAGAAGGCTGTGAAAGAAAGCTTCTAACTACTTAGATTGGATTTTAAAAGGTTGACGGTAGTTCAGTGATGGAAAGAATTTACTTTCTTTTCCTTCGTTAAGAAGTTAGTTTTCTCCTAGAGCAATTCTTCTAAATTGAAATAAACATAAATCCATCCTAATACTATTTAAATGCACATTGGGTGCATGGCTTCGTATTAGATGTTTGAAAATTTGACTTAGCTTCTAAAAGCTGAGCAAGTAAATTATTTGGAAGATATATTTGCTCAATTCCAGTTAGATTTTCTTTTAAAATTTTATATTAAAAACAACAAAACAGCATAAATAGAAAATAAAATTTCATAATTACGAAGGTTTTTAATCTACTTGTTGAGTACAGAATTTGCTTACTGATTTGTCTCCAAATGAAATGTCTTAAGGACTTTCAATTTAAATTTATTTTCAAATACATTTAAGACTCCATAATTCTCATTACGAAACACAAACAACAGGTCACAAAGCTTTTTTGAAAAATAGCAAAGGAAGTGGTAAATGTGACAGCGTAAGACTATTATGACAACAAATCATTATAGTTACATGTGTGTATGACAGAACAGCAAGCTTAATAACTTATATTAGCATATATTTCAAAGACAAACTACTAAGCTACTACTAACCTACTGAGCAGTTTACGTAAGAATGCTTAGTGTTTTCTTTCCTGAGATAAGTTATAAAGATGAAACTTGGCAGAAACTAGTATAACTACAGCTTGCTTCTCCAGTTACCAAGATTACCTCATAGATGTTAGAATAGTGCGTTCACAAGATGGCCTTTTATCCTTTGCAATATTAGTAAGTATTTATCAAAGGGGAAAATTATATTCTCAAAAATTTAAAGGGAAAAAATTTAAAGCACGTTTTCTACTTAAATTATTTACGGTGTAATTACATACCTTCATATAATAAATTTTAAAAACTTTGTAATTAATATTACAATAAAGATTCACTAGTGTTTCAGCCATGTGTTTTAAAAGATAATGCAAGTTTAAATAAAAATTACTAATGCCCGAAATCCAGGTCCCCAAAATAACACACTTCAAAAAATGGCATCTTTCACAAATATAACCATATTACTTATAACAATGTTTTCCCATATAGCTCTCTTCTTTAATAGATAAGTGAGTTCTTAAGTTAAATTTGCCCAACTATAAAATAGGCCCTTCTGAGTTACATTCACTTTCTCGAGGATGACATCAGGTGGGAGCTCATTTCCGAAGAAAGGGACCAGGTTACAGGCCGGGTCAGGGAGCGGGCCTCCTGCAGCCCGTCGGCCTCACCGGTCACTGCGGTCCGCGCGGGGCCCCCCAGCTTACAGACCATTTTGTCCGCTCATTTCCAAGGGCCCGGTGTCAGGGCTCCACTTTCACAAATGGGGTCTTCCATCAGAGCCTATCTGTACACCTGTTATTACATTTGGGTTTTAAAAGTTATTTTTACGGATACTGCATCATTCTGGTTTCCCTGCGTTTTGACCCGCATGGTTAAGTCGCCCACAGCCCCGGCTCCTCCGACGTGTGCTGTCACCAGCCAGCCTGCCGTCCCCACCGAAAGGATCTGCACTCGGGGTCCACACGCTTAGCCGTAAAGGGGAGGAGCGGCGTCCATTCCCCTCCTGTTTAATCCTCAGTGCCAGTCACTCTTCCTGAGTGCGGATCACACCCCGTTCTGAAACCCCTTCCTGCCCAAGGGACTGACGCCACCATGGGAACAAACACACTCCCCAGAAGCTCTGCAGGGCGCTAGTCTCCTTTGTCCCCGCTCCACACCTCCACGCGGCTGCCTTCCTCAGCTGGAGCGATTACACTGCGATGTGGGCATAAAAACGGCACGCGTGCACCTGCGTGCCCACACGCTCAAGGAATACGGGGGCAAAAGCAGGTGTGCCGTTGCGAGCAGGTGAAAGCTTATTCTTGTATTATTTATTCGTATTACAACGGTACACCTGCTTTTGCCCACCCCTGTATAAGGACAGACTCACAAGCGAAAGGCTATATAAAAGGAACCATATTCTGTGTTTCGACAGCCCAACTAATGTTAAGCATTTTACAAAATGATGAACACAGGGGGTCGTTTCTTACATATTAAACATAAAAATAAATTAAAACGTTCAGATTACTCTTAGAACTTTATCAAATCCTTCATAAAATTATACTTTAATTCTAAAGAACTGGCACAGCACATTCTACATGTATTAGTTCTCATAAGATGCTGAAGATGGAAAATAGACAATCAAATTGGAATCAATTTTTTAAAAGATTATCAATATAAGATTAAAATTTTTAAAAGGAGAATGCTAACAATAGATATAGAAGTACCTAAAATGGCAAAATAAATGAAAACAAATCTTTTAGATTTATATCTTTAGGAATATTTAATTCTATTATGAAATTATTATGTGAGGTTCAATAAACTAAGCCCAATCACCTACATTAATTAATAAGTTAATCAAAACGTATCTAAAATTTTGAGGATTCCATAATAAAAATGGAAACTCTGATTCAGAAATCAGAATTAGATCTGCTAAGGTTCTTGAAAAACTTACCATTTGGGGGTCCAAAACACTGAATAAGTAAGTTATATTTTCAACTGACACCAGCAATGACGATTAGAACTGAGCTCAACTAAAGACCACTAGATTATATAGATGTTATATAGAGATAGTGACTTTCAGATGCTACCTCAGTAGCTTAAATGAAACGATTCATCAACTGTGTATTTCCCCTGGATCCCAAAAGTGATTTTAAAAAATTGGGCAAAGGGTGATGCCAGAAATACAGGGGCAAAATTGTCCGTCTAAAAATGTAATGGATAAAAATTTAGGTGTTTCTAAGTAATTGTAAAGTGTTAGCTTTATTAGAATTTATTTGGAAACGTAAATTTGTATTCTTTGGGGCTTGGTGGAGGCATTAAGAATAAAGATACAGTGATCTGTAAGCTTCTCAAGAGAAAGGACATGTTGAAAGAATAGTAGGTAAAGCAACGTCAGGGAGAGAAATAACGGGGGGGAAAAGTGCAAGCGATGGGGCGGGAAGAAGGGAGAATATGGGAAAGCACATAAAAATCTTGAAAAGAAAAGCGAGGGAAAAAAAATCAATGAGGTTGCCCAATGGGAGGCCAGAGGGGCTAAAGACAAGCCAGTTTGGAAAGCATTTCAGAAACTAATTCGGGGGAAAGATAACTCACTCTGAAGAGATTAACATTTTTAATCTTGATACAGCCTAAAATCCAGAAATAATACTAATAGCAATCATTAAGTCTACAGTTTTCTATTCTAATATGTTATCTAATTCGATTGTGTGTTAATCAACCAAACAGGGGGAGCGCTGGGTCCCAGTCTGGTGGAGAGGGGGGTGGGCGGGAGATGCCATCACGAACCCGAGAGAGGAAAGGACAAGGCCAGGGCGGCTGCTTATGTAAGCCGTCGGCCCGCTGTCCCCTGAGGGTAAGAGACACAGGCTCTAAGACCAACCTGCCGGAGGAACACCCCATGTTGTTCTGAGAGCTCCCAACAATCCACATTTACCCTGGGGCACAGTGTGTTCACTCCACAGAATCTGCTCCAACGTACCAAGAGGAGACTCAGAAAACTCTGGGACTGCCTTTCGACAGTGAACGCGGTCTCCCGGCTCTGTCAAAGCAACCTGTTCTTCACGCGGATTTCAGTTTATTTCATTCCTCTTATATCCAAACTCCTAAGACTGTAAGCCAACTAAACAATAAAACATTTAAACAAAATTTCATATATTCTTCTTAAGTATAGTGGTAAAAATATCGAGTTTTCAATCAGCATCTCTGAGGTGGAGCTCTAGGCACCAGTACTTTTAAAAAGCTTCCCAGGAGATAGGAGCGTGACGCTCCTTGAGAACCAAGCTGTGTACCAGCCCGAGTTTAGCACCGAAACCTTACCGAGGGATTACTCTCTAATCTCAACCAGAGGACTGTGGCTCAAACAGAATAAATGTCCCCAAAATACTGTTTCAACAGGTCACTGATGCGTCAGGAAGAAGAGAGGGAGGGGGAAAGGTATTTATGTATCTTATTTCCTTACTGGAACTAAAAACGCCTGCCTAACGTTTGACTATGATGGCATGAAAGCCTGCAACCTTTTACCATCACCAACTCCTGTTTATTTTTCAAAGAAAAACACTGCAGATCTACTGAGCTTAGCTTCAGAAGTGGTTGCTCTTTTTCTTGGGCCATCACTCAATTCTTGGTTCATTTATCAGTCAAAGATGTGTAGGCACCCACATGTCATCAGAATGGGTGATAATTTACAGCTCTTGAATCGACTGAAGCTTTCTCTAAACTTCAACC